CCCCCCGGTTTTCTTTTTTTTCTTCCGGTCCAAACATTTTGCACCCCCTGACACCGGTCTGGACTGTCCGGGTCCGGTGATGTCCGGGTGTCCGGTGGTGTCCGGATCACCGGACAGTCCGGACCGGTCCAGACACTAGTCCGGAAGACAGTCCGGAAGTGTCCGATGTCCAGGTCCGCGGTTACTATGCTGTTTTTGTTTTGTTTTTTCTCCTTTGGGTAGCCTCGTGAGTGCAGGGGTTAGGGCATGCTCACACTATTAATCTCCCGCTAGAATATGGGAAGATACCCCGATGCTTTTTTCAAGTTTTTTTCTTTTCTTTTTGGTAGCCCACGTTGGGCCTTGGCTCCAGCACTCACCAGATGTGAAACATAAGACTGAATCTCCCCTTAGAACATGGAAAGATACACCGCCGTTTTTTTTTTTTTTAGGGTAGCCTCATGAGTGCAGGGGTTATGGCATACTCACACTATGATCCTACCACTAAGTTGGGCTTAGGCTCTAGCACTCGCCGAATGTGCAAAATAATGAACCTCCCGTTAGGACATGGGAAGATACACCGCTGTTTTATTTTTTTTTGGTTGGCCTCCTGAGTGCAGGGCCTTGGGGCACCAAATGTGCAAAGTAGTGAATCTCCCATTAGAACATGGGAAGATACACCGCTGTTGAGTTCGCCCGTGTGCGGGGCGTGGTCAGGAGGGCGAGCAGGTGTTTCACGCAGGCGTAGTCTGCGGGGTCCGCTTGTATTCCTTAAACCAGAGACGTACAACCAGAGTTATAATTTGTGATTACAGAAGTGAGAAAAAGCAGAAAACGAATTTAAATTTAAAGTGGAATTATGATTATCCATGTAACCAGACTTTAACATTTGCTGTGACTTTGCAAGTTGGAAAAAAAAGCAGAAAAGAAATTTGAAGTGGAATTATCCCTCCCCCTAGCAATGGACGGCCCCGAATGAAACATTCTTAAAATGCAGTTCCTGAGTTGCCATCGTTCTTCTGCTCAGCACTGCTTCTGTTTAAACCCTAAACCCTAGCAGCTCATTTGCCTGAGGGCGCTTTCCTGTCCTCTGAGCCTGAGGCAGTAATGGCTCCCCCTTGGGGAGGATTTATGTCAGCTCTCCCCTATGTTACCTGGCTACCTCCCTTTAGAAGCCCGATGCTTATCCTGCTACTTATGCTGCATTTTGCCATTTTCCTATCCGTCCCCCCTCATTGAATTAAGCTGTTCTGCTGGGGGTCTGTGATGGTCCAAACTCCTATTTCCCTTCTTTCTATGATGTCCCCATCCGAATAGTTGAGAGTTCCGCCATACTTCGTGCTGCTGTAAATTCCAAGTCCCCTGGCTCAGCTGTCCTTGACCACCATTGGCAGTTAACCCTGTTGCCCTCTATAAGTGCTATCTTCCTGCCTCCCAGCACCTCCTCAGCGAAAGCTTTCCTTATTTCCCTCGCTTTTTCCAGTGACTGTTCAATCGACTTCCTAGCAGTTTTCCATTGTGCTGTAATCTCTGTTTTTAGAAGCTCCTTTAACTCTTCCCTCGCCTCCCTTATATGCACTGCCTTCAGTTCAATCGTTGCCTACCATCTACTTTTTGAAATTGCCCATAGTCCGTATTGCATCAGCTTATGATCACATCCATAGTGAAATTGCGTCCACGTGCCTGGGGTGAGCATGCCCAGCAGCAGTGTTACTGGGTCGTTCGGGAAGGGGCTAGTTGTTGCCCTTTGTCATAGATTCCGGATCCCTGCCATAGCTGTCTTGCTCTTTAACATTCCAATAAACAATGACGCACCGTCTCCTTGACTCCCTCTGTACAGACCATGCATAGCTCCCGTCCACGTGCCTGGGTCGAGCGTGCCCAGCAGCAGTGTTACTGGGTCCTCCGGGAAGGGGCTCGTTGTTGCCCTTTGCCATAGATTCCGGACCCCTGCCATAGCCGTCTTGCACTTCAACATTCCAATAAACAATACTGCACCGTCTCCTTGACTCCCTCTGTCAAGACCATGCATAGCTCCCTTTGTGGTGGCCTGCTCGCCGTATTTCTACAAGCATTAAGCCATGCATTCACCGGAAGTGCAAGGAAAATACATACTTCTGATTTTGGCCAGCCTAATTCCATTCAACTGGGTCCATAGGAATCCTTGTACTTGAGCCGGAGCGATGCCCAGATGGTTCTGCCATCTCTGTTCCAGCACTGGCTCCAGAGATTGTGATCGCATTCTAAGCTGATATCCTAGTTTGGTTGTGTAGTAAAGGATGTTGATTCACAGCGCAGCTCCCCTTTTACCGTGCCTCTCACGTACAAGGCTGGCCACGTTGATTGTGGTTGAGCGCCAGCTGCCCATATCCCCGTGTTCTTTAACGGTACACTTGCATGTTATGAAAGGAGGTATAGTAAAAACCGGAGTATACTCCTGTACATTTTTCTTCAGATCTTCAGCTTATATTGTCTGTTCTCTTAGTGATGCTCATTTGTATGCATTTATTAGTAGCACACAAGGGGAGGGAGAAAGGAAGGATGGAAGGCGCAGGGCGGAGTTCTTTAGGAAGCAAGAGGCATGTGTGTGTGTG